GTGATAATAATTTGTTATCCAGAGCAAATTTTTACAATGGCTTTGAAAAACATTATTGGTATCTATTTTTATTTTTGAAATTTACCGGTAGCTGCTGCATTTCCCACCCTAGGCTTATACTCGAGTCAATAACTTTTCCAGTTTTTTGTGGTAAAATTAGGTGCCTCGGCTTATATTCAGGTCGGCCTATACTCGAGTATATACGGTAAAAAAAACAGATTTTGAAGATTGTTTCTTTGATCTCTAATACCATCTTACTTTATGTTTCATGTATGTATGTATGTATGTATGTATGTATGTATGTATGTATGTATGTATGTATCAGGGATGGGTTCCGGCTGCCACTACTGCCTGTTCACTCAGGGATGCGCTGAGGTCAATACGTTCAAGAAGAACTTTAGAGATCACAGGGCAGTTCTATTGACTAAGTAACATTCCAAAGACCTCTCTGGATCTCTCACTTGATGGTGATTAGCCTTAGGATATGAGTTTCTTTTAGATCAATATATTTGAAATCTTGGGGAAATACTAAATAGTTATGGCTCTGAAAATTATGCATGTGAGCATGTATATTGCAGAATCAAAGTTGCATGCCTCAAATGCAAAATATGCAGTTAGTATTAGCAGCAGGCTTTGCCTTCATATCCTCCCTGTGAGCTTTTCAGTTGCATCATCAGCCAGGATGGGACACAAGATGGACTTTTGATCTAATACAACAGGATTCTCCCTTTGTTTTATGTTGTATTCTTTTTTTAAGTGACTCAAAACCTGTTATTATGTTTTTAGAGAAAAATAACTTGTATATTATGATGGAATATTGCGATGGAGGGGACCTGATGAAGAGAATAAATATGCAATATGGAGTGCTGTTTGATGAGGATAAGGTAAGTCTGTAATTTTAGGAATGTTTTCACTTTATTTATATTCCCTTCACTGTTCATCGCAGCAAAGCATTCAAAATGGAGATCCTGGGTTATATTGTGTTTTATTTATTTATTGTTACCATGTAATTATGTTTTAATAAGTTAGAATTTGGCATAATATATTTAGATAAGCCAAAATTTAGATTCACAATCAATAGAAGAAAATGATACCAATACAGTAGATAAAATCTTGGGCAATGGTGGGTAATTCTAACCTAGTCAGCTCCCAAGATTGCATACTTTCAACATGTGTTTCATTTTTAATAAAATAATGCTGATGAAAGGGTTAAGGCAGTCTTGCCCAACCAGATGCTCTCCAGTAGGATTATCAGCTCCATCTGAAACCAATTCTGATTAGCCAATATCGCATTATAGGAAGAGCATGTGGAGGTATCAAGACTGGAAGTATCTTCACATGTGCTTCCTCTAATGTGATTTATAATATCATGTTTTGTGCAAAAGAATTAATGGATTTAAGGCAAGACTCAAAGCCAGGACAAACTAATATAGCAGCATTTTAGTCTCTAGGGACAAACTTCAAATGGCTAGCTTGGAAAAACAAAACAGTACCACTGAGTGAGAGCTTGCTTAAAATCTTTTGATGTATTCAAGTTTAGCAATCTCAAAAACTCTCAGCAATAAACATTCTCTCTCTTTCTCTACATACACATACACACAGAGAGAATATGTTCTAACCTTGAGATCTGAACAACTCTGTGACTTATTTTGTCATACTTCTGTATGTATCCACGGTGTTTAAAATAATAAACAGTTTTTTCATCCCCAAGACTATATTCTTGAAGAAATTTTAATGTGTTGTGTGAAATACTGATATTTTATCTTTATCTTTAGATCTTGGGTTGGTTCGTGCAAATTGCCTTAGGTCTGAAGCATATTCATGACAGAAAGATTCTGCACAGAGACATAAAAACACAGGTAAGTTTGGGAGATAATTTTAGCCTCATCACTGAGACATAAAACACGCATCCAGTTTTAATTATGGTGTGTTTTGTTTACAGAACATTTTTCTTAGCGGTAATGGAATAACAGCAAAACTGGGAGATTTTGGAATTGCAAGGGTGTTGAACAAGTAAGCATATTTTTATGGACAATGTTATTCCCTTAGTATTAGGTCAAAAATGGATAAGTTTATTCTGCAGATGCTTTAAAATTCCAGTGAAAAGGGCATAGAATTGGTCAGATCTTAACTTTGCAAAATGTCTTAGCCTTATTGAAAAGAAGTGCAGTAAAACTTGGGATTTCATCTGTGAGTTCCTTCTGCTCCCTTTGTACATGAGAAAAGGAAGTAGAAACAATGCATTTTCAAACAGTAATTTTCCCATTCTTGTATATTTGAAATCAGGAAACTCTTTAATATGCTCTAAACCAGAAACTGAAATCATGGTTTGAATCTGATTTTTTAAAAACAAAATTGATACTTGTAAATTATTTAGGCCTTGCTATCTCAACTAACCCTTGAATGAATTCACATATAGGGCATTTTAAATAATGGACTGAGTTAAGAATTTTTTTTAATTTCTCTAGATAGCTTCAGTAATCGAATTATTTTCAAAGAAAAAAATCCTTTTTCGTTTGCTATTTTCTTTAGCACGATGGAATTTGCTAATACCTATGTAGGAACACCATATTACCTATCACCTGAAATCTGTGAAAATAAACCATATAACAATAAAACGTAAGTTTCAGAATATATCTCTATCTTTGTGGAGAGAGACAGAGAGGTATGGTAGAATTGAAAAAAATGAGTTTTTTTGTGCAAATTTGATGATGACTCTTGTTTCAGAAATCGTTAAAAAACTTCTACATTTAATAAATAATCCTGTTTTTATGCAATTATTTGTTTCTTCCAACTTTATTTAATAAGCCTTAATTTGGAGCATGAAGTTCACTGTATAACTCCTCACAAGCCAAGGATCATTTTTGATAGATAATTCATTATACTGCTTTCAAGTGGCAATTGTCTTGTAATTCTTGAAGGTCTTCTTGAAATGAAAAATAGCAATAAATATAAGCAATAGTATTGCAAGCTGTCTTTGCCTTCAGACCTTTGAACAATTCTCTATAGAATCTACCCTTAAAAGGTCATCTTTCTTCTGAAGCACACATTAATTTTTTGCAGTTCTAAAATGCCCTATTTATTGGCCCTAATAGCTGCTTTAATAATATTGTCTTTGCAGCCATAACTGGCTTAATTATAACCTTTGAAGAAGTTACCAAAAGCAGGTAGTCTTTCATAACCAAAAGCAGGTAGTCTTTGACTTATATCCATTTTTGAACCCAACATTTTGGTTGTAAATCATGGTGGTTATTAAGCAGGCCATCACCTGTCTGAACCCTATTTCACTATCTTTTCTGTGGCAGTTATTAAATGAAATCATTATACTTAGTGGGTCAGAAATTGGAAGTAAGTACTGGATACTAACAAAGACTGCTGAAAATTGTGGTCCAGTGACTGTGGCACACTGCAAAAGGCCATAAATCCAAGCCAATTGATAAGTACCCAAAATGCAACATGATCATGGAGAGGATGCAATCGTCAGAACTTCAAATCAGAGCAACTGTTTGTTAAGCAAGGATGATCTATAATAACAATGTGTTAAAAATAATAAATAGTATAGTATAAACAATACTAAAGAGAATACTAAGAATTAACTTTTTGCATAACCATATAGTTGGTTATAGATGTTTTTTTGCTAGATTACTAAATATTATTTCAATTCCTCTAATTATCTTACTTTCTTTTATAGAGATATATGGTCTCTTGGCTGTGTGTTATATGAGTTGTGTACTTTAAAGCATCCTGTAAGTAAATGGTTATAGTGTCATAACCAAATATTTATCAAGATCATTTAGTGACAGCTATTACAACCATAACTTAAATACAGCCTTTAACATTTTGAACAGTGTAGAAAAATATCAGTTTTATAGTACTAAGACCCACTTGAGTTTTCCTTTTCAGATGGAAAGGAATACTCCATCAAAAAAGTTTCTTGAAATGTCTAAATTTCAGAAGAGAAATAGACAAATTCACAAATGATAGGGCCAATAGTTTCTATTAGACATACTCACTACATATGTTTTATTGAAAGAATATGCGTCTTGACATAAAATGTTAAGAACAGAACTGTGCTGTGGTATTTTTATCTTGCTCTGAGTTTCTTTTAGCACTTTGTTAGCTCCGTAGGAATAAAATAGTGGAATTAGATGGGATTTGGACTGATCAAGAATGGCTTGTATAGTCTTATGATTTCATTGGTAAAATGAAAAGTACACCATAAATTTCAGCATTGTTCATGGTTCATAGGATTCGCACCTCACATGGAGACTGCTGGGAATCCCTGTATAAATGGGGCATTAGTATCCTCCCCCACTTATTGTGACTGTGATCACATCGTGACTGACTGTAAGCTGAGAGCATATACCGGTCCAGTATCTGATTTTTTTATATATATATAAATGATGCTGCACTTCAATGGTAGATGGCCTGGACATTGACATTTGAACATAGATCATTTTAACATTTATATTTTATTGTGTTTTACTAATCTAAATGTATTGCACGTCCATATGATATGACATGTTAAATAAATAGGAATGGATAAATCCTTTTCAGTGACCATTTGTGAAATAATCACCTGGGCTCAATATTTTAGATGTGTTTTTAATAGTGGACCTTTTGGGTATAAAGTAGAGAAGAACATACTTTGACTGCTGTTACAATAGTTCTTTTTGATAAGCAGGATGGTAGTTCATAAATAAGTGAAACAGAAAGTATCATAAGTGAGAAATAGTAGATCTGAAATGAACCGATAAATTGGACAGTGCTATTACAAAAAAGATTATTCTGCCATCATTTTTTTTATGTAAGTACTTTTGTGTATTTCTGTTTAAATCAAGTTTCGATTTAATATATTGTCTTTATTTTCATGTGATAGTTTGAAGGCAACAATTTGCCCCAACTTATATTGAAGATCTGCAGAGGCCATTTCATTCCTGTGTCTGTGAAGTATTCTTCTGATCTGAGATTGTTACTATCCCAGTTGCTTAGAACATCTCCAAGAGATCGCCCTTCTATTAACTCTATTTTTAAAAAAGCCTTTTTGGAGAAGCAGATAAAGAATTATTTGCCACCTGAGGTGAGTATCTCTTTGTGGCTTAGAAAAACAAAATTGCTTAGTCCACTCAAAACCCCTTTATCTGTTAGTTGGTGTTGTTCTTTATCTATTCTTCTGTGGAAGAAGGGTTGGTTTTTCCCCCCTTTTCATTATAAAACAGGCTTTCTCCTGATATTTGGAGGGCTACAAGCATGCTGGCTTTCCAGAAGATGTGAAGAGTAATACTTGCTCCAAGCACTAGGCCAGGATGTTAGTTGAGCCCAAAATAGACGTAATTTTGATGTGAATCTGTTATGGAGTCTTGGTTATTGTTGGCTGGTTATTTTAACTTCGTTTTATATTTTACAATTATAGGTTTATTTTCTATATAACTCTTTTTGTTGATTGCCAGCTGACCAGGGTTATATATGCAAGATGGTTGGCATTATAATTCCCCCAAATATATAGATAAATTCCACTTATATTCAGTTACAAAATAAAAATAGTTGGTATTGCTAGTTTTCCCCAGGACAAAAAATAGCAAGGAAATATGTTTGCTTCTCACTTCATTGAGTTAGAATAAATTAACTTTTGGTACATTTACTTGAAACACACTTGAGGTAGCATAGAAATAAATAATTGCATTCTGTTATATTATTTTCTAGATCATTGAGGCAGAATTTAGTCATACTGTTATTCACAGGAAAAAATCATCACCTTCATCATCAGGCAAGTGATTGTTTATATTAAAAATAAGAACATTATATTTGACCATATGTATGAAATTTGTTTTACACTGAGATTGATTCTAAGATGGCCACTTTCAAGAAACAAAGAAGTTGTAAAATAAAAATAGCAATAGCATTAGTACTTATATACTGCTCCATAATGCTTTACAGTTCTCTCTGAGCAATTTACAGAATCAGTCTATTGCCCCTAACAATCTGGGTTCTAATTTCACCAATCTCAAAAGGATGGAAAGCTGAGACAACCTTGAGCCAGTCAGGATCAAACTCCTAGCAGTGGGCAGTGTTAACCTGCAATACTGCATTCTAACCACTGCGCCACCACAGCATGCCTTTTTCATTGAAGAAAATATGGCAGCAGAAATTGAGCAAATATGGATTATAACTTCAAAGTTGTATTTTTCAGATATGTTCCATTGTGCAAGGTAAAATTAATAGGTTCTTCTGATTTATAGGAGAGATGAGGGACACTGAAGAAACTTGGGATTGCTTTAGTCAGGGATGACTCTTTCTTCAAGAAAATTTTATTAAAATAAATCCAGGTCTATGCTTAGTAAATAAATATTATTTAAAAACAAGCAAGTACCAATCTGCAGTTGTTACTGCAATAAGTTGGTTATAATAGTGAGGTTGGAGAGAAAGAAGGGAAAAAATCCCACTGAGCAGGTTTTTTTTTCTTTTCATTCTACAAATAAGTTGATTTTAATGTTGGGGTGGTGTATCCAACAGTATCTGTTGTGATGGTTGTGTCCCTTTTGTTTCTGTTCAGGGATCCTTCCCAGAAAGCAGTTGATGACAATGGCTCTACAAAGTTGGGGTGGCAGGAAGAAAACCAGTTGAACCAACTTTTATGTTGGATGTTGGTAGCCTGGAACTTTCCATCTTATATATAGTCAAATCCCTTGTTGTTGTAGAAGTTTGGCCTAAAGATGAATTTGGCTCAGATAAATATTGTGCTGATGCATAACTAAAGACTTCCTTATAAGTTTAAACTGAGCCATTGAACATAACTGGAATTTGATAAATTGGTGAATAGAATAGAATAGAATAGCTATATATTAACTTCCTAACTTCATACATTATGGGGAAAAATTATTTAGAAGAGAACTGATATATTGTGTTAACCAAGTGATTCTCAACACAGTATATGCTGCTGATTTTCAAGGGAACGATGCTTTTTTTCAATTGCAAAGCGGAAAGATAACCTACAAGTCTATCCGTCCCTTTCTTAATATTTATTAAATGTAGAATTAATTAGCCAATCATTATTTAGCTTATTGTTACCTAAATTCCTAAAGGTCAGAAACGAAGACTCCATGATTATCGCTCTCCAAAAATCAAGATGGAAATGCTCCCTAGAAAATTATTGCATAAAAATGAATGCTATTCTCCTTCAAGGATTCAGGATCCAATTATTAAGGTAAAAGTTACCTTTTGTTAAGGTAAGAATTATATATTGCTAATCTTTTACTGGTAGTCATTTCTTAATGACTATTCTGGACATAACTGTTTCAACTCCTCCCCTTGGGACAGCTTTACAGGGCGTTGCATGCGAAAACAACTAGACACAAAGACTGTTTTTCCTCGTGACGACATTCTGCTGAATACCTAATTCCCACAATACTGTCATGTCTAAATGTATTTAGCCATATAGGATGGCTATATTACTTTTATCCTTCTGTTCCACTACTTTCTCTTATTGGTATCATTATGATGATGATTATTACTTTGTTGCTTTGCATGTAAACTGAGAGCTTAGAAATTCCTTGTGTGTCTAATCCAGAGGTGAGTTCTTACCGGTTTGGACTGGTTCGGCCGAATAGGTAGTAACTTGGTGGCCTGCATCTCTGGAACTGGCAGCAACCCAGGCCTGCCATGTCCCCGAACTGATTCTCTTGGTGGTGCTGTAGGCACTGCCATCTTGTTTTTGACTTCTGCACATGCACAGAAGCATTTTTTTAGTACTGCGCATGCACGCGTCCCTGAGCAAACCTGCAGTAGCAGCCGCCTGAACCCATCCCTGGTCTAATCACACTTGGTCAATAAAGTATTTTATTCAAGTTCAGCGATGGTTTAAAATTACATCAGCATTGAATGAATTGTATTTGATTGGTCGTCAAAATTACAGCCACTGCTATGCTCCTGTGCTCACATAATCACAATTCAGATGCCTGGCAGCCTGTCCACATTTATGGCTGCAGGGTGTGCTTCAACTCCTTTCACCTTTCTTCCCACCATCTCTTTGCTTTTGGCCTCTCTGCCCTATTTCTCTGCTGCCCAACACTGCTCTGCTGACCCCAAGTGCTCCCTGCTGCGCCCAAGTAAACTTCACTGTATTTTTTCTCCCACTGCTCCTACGAAGAGCGAGGCTTGGCATACCTTATCAAGCAGCAGGAGAAAGAAGATGGCAAAAATCAGCTGGGGCAGCAGTGGACAACAGGTGGGGTGGGGTGCAGAGTAGCCAAAATGACAGAGATGAGGGGGTGGGAGATTGAAGTGGGGATGAATGCAGCAAAATAGGGGAAGTATGAGGTCCTCATCTAAGGATGGTATGGTCCTGGCCAAATAACTGCAATCAATAAAGGATCAGTGCTTAAATATTTAGCTGAAGGATTATTGCTTAAATCTTAGCAAAGGAGGAGACAGAAAAACAATTTGCTTGTTTTGTTGTTACATTCTGCTTTTGTTGAGCAGGAAACAGCATTTTTATTGACGAGCTCAGTTTCTTTTTATCAGAACAATAGTCAGGCCACACTATTTTATGTAAAATTGATTTCCGTTCACTGGGCTCAGAATGAACCTGTTTTCATAAAATGAATGTCACAAGAGGTAACAGTTCAGCTTTAATCAATATTCAATATTTTGGATTTTAATTTAATTAAATTAAATATTTAAACATTTAATATTTTCAGCCCTTGGGTCCTGCGTTTAAAATATGTGAGAAGCCAGACATCATTAGAATGTGTGGACATTATGACCATTATTACGTAAAACTGGCAAACTTGCAGAAGAGAGCTTTGGTCCAAGATGATGATCCCTGTATTGGCCAGAGAATGGAACAATATTATAAGCAGAAAGGACAAGAACCACCTCTTCCTCCATCTCATGGGTTGTATTTTTCCCCTTATATATAGAAACATCTATTGATTTTTGACATGCCCCTTTTCTTTTCTGTTTAGAGTTTTCCATGACTGTTATGTTTTTCAGACCTTCCGAGTATCTTCAGAGACGATTTAATGCTCGGCAAAACAAGTTAAAAGTAGAGAAGCAACTGGTGAGCAATTTCTATAATCAAAGAAAAACAGATGGGAGGAAATGAACTTTGGAAGTCCTATTCTTATTTACTGGTACTAACATGAAAGGCTAGTTTAACTAATATCTGCATTTTGATTTTTCTGTTCAATGTAATGAACTCATAAAAATGAAATAAGAGCTTTTTCTAGACAATGCTCTTAACAATAGTAAATTATTTTGCATTTCAATAGGGGCTACGGCCATCATCTGCTGAGTTTTGTCAGCTGCAGAATCAAGAAATGAAGGAAGAACAGCTCAAAGTCTGTAATAATGCTCTTCCTCAAAACAATGAAATGAAAGAACAGGTAGGAGAGCCTGGCCAGAGCATTTGGATATGGGCTGAAGAATCTATAATTGGAATAATAGACCTTTCTACTTTTTTATTACTGGGTTGTAAAGAATATACATATTGTCTTTACAGGTAGTCCTTATCTTACGACCACAACTGAGCCCAAAATGTCTGTTAAGTGAGACATTTGTTAAGTGAAATTTGCCCTTTGTTGCCTCAGTTGTTAAGTGAATTTCTGTAGTTGTTAAGTTAACAACATGGTTGTTAAATGAATCTGGCATCCTCATTGACTTTGCTTGTCAGAAGATTGCAAGAGGGGATCATATGACCCTGGGGCACCGCAACTGTCATAAATATTAGTCAATTGCCAAGTGTCTGAATTTTGATCTCGTGACCGTTTGTGTGTGTGTGTGCTGCAACAGATGTAAATGTGAAAAATGGTCATACCTCATCTTTTTCAGTGCTGTGTAACTGTTGTAAGATGAAGACTACCTGCATTTTATGAAGAGAATAGAAGCTATGTGGTCATCTGTCATAGATGCTGTAGTGAATACTACATAAGCTAGAGATTAGAGTAAAGTACCTCTATGGTAATTTTAATTCTATGATTCTACTATCTATTCCTATTTTTTCTTCCAATGTGTCTTTTTAAGGATGGAGTATTCGAAATTATTTTTATATTATTTAGTTTTAACCAACCAAATGGTACAAATATCTCCTTCAATGGGGGCTATAATACATTTATTTTGCTATTTTTCAATTTGACAATGACCAGGACAAATTATTTTGTCTTGATTGGCAGCTATTTGTAAACTTTCAATATAAGATGCTTTTGAAAATCCCTTCTTTGTCTAAGTAGCATGCCACAGCCTTAGAACTCAGGGAGAAGCGGTATGTATCAAGCTAATGCTGTGTTTAACTAATGCATGGGGTTTTAATATAAAAATAGTAGATGTATAGCATGGCCTGGGAATATATGTGGCCCAGATGCAGAGATGGGAAATTTACAGGGAGCACATTTCGCAGACTGATAAGTTTCTCATGTTTCTAATTGACATCTTGTTTTGCATCTGTGATTAATGTGCTAATTATAGAAACTTTTGCAAACCTCCCCTCATTCATAGACATGCCATGGCAAAACATTGCAAATGCACCTGATGTCCGTTCCAGAGAGTATTGCATGTTTTCCCTTATAAGATTTTTACATTTACCCTTAATAAAGTGAGTTCTCTTCAAACTGGCTTTTAGCACTTATTTGGAGGGATTCCACAAGAACATAAGAAGTTTTGCTGTTTCAAAGAGCACTCTCTGCAGAGCTATTTGGGGAAGTCACAAGAGGAGATCATGATAACTTTGTACATTTTAATGTGCAGTTACATTTGCCATAAGAAAAATTATATAATCCACAGTAAAGCAATTTTTTTTGTTAGGCAACAAAACAGCATATAGGCTTTTAAATTCTCAAGATCTAGCCCACAGGCAAGAAGGTAACAGTATTTTATACCCATATAGTGTCTGTATTTTTTACAGTCTTAGATGGAAGGTTGAATTAGACTAAACATGCATTACAAAGGTACATCTCAAATTAGATCCAAAAATATCTTTAGAAGGGCTATTGGAATAAAGAAACAACCTGTTTGGTTTGGTTCTTAGGGAAAGAGGTTATTTTTATTTTTAACTTTGTTTATATGGATTGTTGTGAGCTAGCTGATATTTTATGAGATGGGCAACTATACAACTCCTGTAATCAATTAAAAATGGTTCCCTCATTTTTAAAACATTAAAATATCATTTATATTCAATTTATCTTAATCCATAAGAAAATACAGTTCCATTTTAAATGAGAAAATTGTACAGAAACTATACAGCTATTTATAATTTGAAATGTTACAGGGATTTTAAAAATGGTACAAACCAGATTATAGTGTGCTCACAGTAGAAAATGTAAAAAGCAAGTATGCCTCCATAATACCGATATTCATTTCCTACATGTCTCCATAAAGTTGTAGTTCAATACTTACACTTCTGGGAAACTAATTCTTTGTGGGATTAGTTTTGAATTAACTTGTATAAGATAGCCTTTTTAATGCATATTTTATCTTATATTAAGAATTGTTTCTAAAGATACATTTTGTTCAAGTCCAATAACTTTATGCAGGAGTATCTGAAGCAGCTGCATGAAATTCGCCAACAGTACCAGAGTGAAGTAAATGAAATTCGTGTTAAAGCAGTTAAGGTACTGTAAAATTCTTTGCACAAAATGGTTGCTTGATGGGCTGTGGAAAGCATTGGAATCCGATGATTTTCAAAGCATATTAGCCCAAACAGCAGATTTTTCTTCAAAGCATTAACAAAAGTTGCAAGACTAGCATAGATGTTTCAAAAGCTGTTCCTGCTGTTTTGAATATGGGTGTGCATGCATAGACAACAACAACTGTGATAAGACTGTACAAAACAGAGTCGCTTTGCATGCATACCCTTGAGATAGCCAGGAACAGTTCTTAGAGCAACTGTTCAAGCCTTGCAAAAGATGTGGCTATTTTAAAGCTCCAAAGATGATTTATTCAGACTAAAATATAATTTGAAACACTTCTTTCAAATGTAGGGCTAATGTGTACCTCATGGATGGCTGAGGAAGGGTCAAGCGTATTAGATGACAAAATATGTATATGATGTCATTCATATAAATGCTGTAACTTAATTGCTCGTGCCAGGATATTTGGATATTATTGCATTTATATGCTTTATCATTGTGTTTATGTGATTCGGGTGTCATTATGGTTAGTAACAGGTGCTACTGGAATACGGTTGTTATACTTGTTTTTCTGTGATCCTAAGAATTTTTAATGTAATAAATTAAAAAGTTGTCTTCTTAAGTTGAAAAAGACTGAAAGATTCTTGGGAAGAAAACACAAAATAATTTTTTACCTTACATTCATATGGAGGGAGGGATCTCAACTTTTTTTACAGTATCATATTTATGGAAGCTTTGTTTCTGGGTTGCATGGGTAAACTTATCCAGCTTCTAAGAATTCTCTTTTTCATTACCCCCCCCCCACACACACAAAACCTCCTTTTTAAAGTTCCTAATATCTTAAAAGCAGTTAAACAACCAATTTCCAAAAGTGATTAAGAAAGGAAATATACAAATCTTGTCTCCTTTTGTAGGTGCCAAACCATGGCTTGAGCTATGATGGTATTACCTCATCTCCCAGAGCTTTAAACCCACTGGAGACCACTGTTTTGTGGTCTCCTCATGAGAAGCAAGTGTCTGGAGCACTTATGGGTTATCCAAATCCACTCTTTCTCCAAAAAGAAATTGTGAAACGTCAGTTCATTCACTGGTTCTTCATCCACTGTGGTAGTCCTTTCTGCCCTCAGCGGAACCATCTTCTGTTTACCATTTCTTCCTTAGAAGTTCCAGAGTTAAAGTTACTTTACATAGTCCTACATGTAGATTGCTTTAATGCAAATACTCCACAAGTTTAGAAATATATTTGAATATTATTTGGGTGGAAATCCATATTTTAATGCTGTTTTCTGTAATCATTTTTTTGTTATGACACAGTAATACTTTATTGGCAGTATTTTCATGTACAAGAAAGTTTTAATGATTATACTTAAGATCCATCTGCGGAACCTAAAACATGTTATGTTTATGACTGTTGTCTTAAAGGAAAATAAAAACCTAAGGGAAAAAACCTATATTGTGAAACAGGGAAAGAGTGAGGACCAGTCTGTTCCTAATACTAATTATGAAGAAAGAAATGAACCAGGCCAGGTATCAGCACTTTTGGTTTTGGTACAACCTTTTTTCCCCAGTTTATTGTAGTGTCTTCATTAATGGGACAAGCTCTATTTTTGTTTGAATAAAATAAAAGTACAAATAAGTGATCTTATTGTAATTTCCACCAGATATATACGTATACGTTTAATTTTTTTAAATAGAAAAGTGTACATTTAAGTTCTTAGTTGTACCTTTTTGTCTGTCTTTTTGTCTGTCTGTCTGTCTGTCCATCCACCCATCCAAGCTATTATAAAAATATTGCATGTGGCATATACTGGGATAACTTGAAAATACAAATTTACATCAAAATTAACACAGATTAAGACTGCTAACAGATTCAGAAATAATTGTTAAAAAACTGGTGGTTGAAAACAAACCCCTTCCATCTACAGCAAATAATCAGAAATCTACTAGGATAGAGTTGTGTCTTTCTGATGGAGGGGTGACCTTGGCTCCTGTTTAGGCACATGGGCAGATGACATGATGCCACAAGACTGGGCAGACTAAGAATCTTGGATTCTTTTTTCCTACTTTCAGATTTGGAGGTTAAAAATTAATCTCATACTCCTTGTAAAAAGATCCATTCTGTTTGTTTAAACCTTTCAAAATTGGGGAGAAGAGTTCAGGTTTTTAGGATTGCTGTGGGTTGATTAAGCAATGGAAAAGCACATATTTTATCCCTTAAACATCTGATCACCTGAAACAAGTAAAAAATATTGACTCTTGAGTTTGGGAGGCTTCTGATGCCAAGCATGTAATATTAGGTCATCACATCTATAACACTGCCCATTCTTGTAATAATAAATCCTGATTTATGCTCTGTCACCCTGTACTAAAGTATTATTAAATGATTCTGTAGAACAGTTTAGCATTAGAAAAGATCCCTTCTGCCCATCTATTAGTCTTGTTATTGTTTTTGGTTGTCTTTTAACGTATCTTTTTAGTGAAAATAGCCATGTACAATTTGCTTTTTTCTCCTCTTTTCACCCCAGGACATGGAACAAAACTTGAAACAAATTGGACTGCAGAGATGGCAGGAGAAGAACAACCCCGAAGTACAACAGAAAGCAAAGGTTCAATTTATACATATCTACAGTGGTGGGATTCAACTATTTTTACTATCAGTTCTGTCGGCGTGGGGTGGCTTGGTGGGTGTGGCAGGGGAAGTGTACTGTAAAATCTCGATTCCCTCCCCACTCCAGGGGAAGGTTACTGCAAAATCCCCATTTCCTCCCGATCAGCTGGGACTCGGGAGGCAGAGAGTAGGTGGGGCGGGGCCAGTCAGAGGTGGCATTTACCAGTTCTCCGAACTACTCAAAATTTCCTCTACCAGTTCTCCAGAACTGGTCAGAACCTGCTGAATACCACCTCTGCATATCTGTATATAATAATAATGCCACCTTCGTATGATATCATTTCAACTGGAATATTAGTATCAGAATCTTTAAACATAAAAGAATGAAGAACAAGGGATCTTTTTCTTTCATTTTGCTATCATGGACATCTCAGCAAAGTAAAGGAATCCCTTGTTTGTTGTCCTTTTTACTTAATTTTCTTCTTCCATCTTCTCAGAGGGAAAAATGACAGCATTTTTTATGTTGCTATGCTCAATAGCATAAGAGGAATGATCATTTCTCTCAGTTATATGTTTCTGCATTTTATTTTTCAGGGAGGTGTAAAGTTTCAGGTTAATTTAACAGATGATGCAGCAGATGAAAAAAACATCCAGGAAGAAAATGAGGTATAATTACAATTACCTATAATTATACAGGTAGTTCTCAACGTAGGACCACAATTAAGCCCAAAGTTCACTTAACATTTGTAGTTAAATGAGACATTTAAGTGAGCTTTGCCTCATTTTACAACCTTTCCTGCCACAATTGTTAAGTGAATCATTGTAGTTGATAAGTTTGTAACCCAGTTGTTAAGTGAATCTGGATTTTCCATTGACTTTGTCAGAAGGTTGAAAAGGTGATCTCATGACCTTGGGACACAGCAACGGTCATAAGTATGAACCAGTTGTTTAGCATCTGAATTTTGATCACACATGATCATGGAGATGATGCAAAGGTTGTGAAAAAACTCTTATTTTTCGGTGCTGTTATAACTTTCAATGGTTACTAAACGAACTGTTGTAAGTCAACAGTTGTATTTGCATGTAATGATAAGATTGTTAATGACCATCAATCTGTGCATGAAGATTTCCTGCCTATGTAAAGATTATGTGTTACAACAAGGTGAATGTTCCACAGTGTTCTCTTTTTTAAAAAATTGAGGTTATACAGCAGGGGTGTCAAACTCAAGGCCCGTGGGCCAGATCTGGCCCATGGGGTGCTTAAATTTGGCCCGTGGGGCTGGCCTGAAAATAACAAAGGATCAGCCCATCATGCCTCTCAGTATTTTTTTTTCTTGATCCAGATCTTCCAATCTTCCTACCAATTTTTATATTCCAATAGGAGAAGATATTACCATCAATATTCCTCTGCTACAATCTCTTATTGTTGCATCTGACTTTTAGGAAAGATATATTTCAAGGGCTAATGATTGAAATTTCCCTCTGGTCTGACTTATGCTTGACTACCTGTTCTGCTCTTTAAGTATAGCTTTGTATAACCTTTCATCATGGCCAATGGTGGGTTCCTACCAGTTCGGACTGGTTCTGCCAAACCGGTAGTGGTTTGATGGCCTGCCACGCCGCTGAACCGGTTCTCCTACGATGATGCCATCTTGATTTTCACTTCTGCGCATGTGCAGAACAATTTTCATTGCATAAATTTAATTTATTTTCATTTTTTATCATTTTGTGCATGCACAGACCTATTTAAGTGCAAATGCGCGCACGTGAGTGACAGCACACATGCTTGCTTCGCTCACGCGTGTGCAAAATTGCCGACAGAACTGAACTCCTGGTATTTAATTTTCATTTGAAACATCTCTGCCATAGCAATTTTAGGTAAAGCAAGCATAACCGATTTATATTTCAATACAAAATGTAAAAAAAACCCTATGGAGTTATTAGGGCTCTGCTCTAGGGGTGGGGTTTCTGCCAGTTTACCCTGGATCGGGCGAACCGGTAATGGTGGTGGCAGGAGGCTCTGCATGCGCAGAAGCGTCATGCGAGTGCGCACGAGTGAACAGGTAGTAAAATAAATTGAAACCCACCTTTGCTCTGCTCTCACTAGAGGAAACATTGTGTATGATTTAAGGAGGGAAATTTTCCTCCCTCCCTCTTCCTTCCTTCCTTCCTTCCTTTCTTCTTTCCATTCTTTCTCTTTCTTTCTTTCTTTCTTTCTTTCTTTCTTTCTTTCTTTCTTTCTTTCTTTCTTTCTTTCTTTCTTTCTTTCTTTCTCCAACTATCAGTCCTGGGCAGCTTACAACATTAAAAGCCATAAAACCATAACAATAAGAATACAACTTTATAATTGAAAGTATACATAATTATAATTAAAAATGGGATGGGAAGGAAGCAAGTTGCACAGGTTGTGATGGGGGATCTATTAGTCCATCTATAGCCATCTAGTCATCTTTCATTATGAATCACATTTTCCTTTTGGAGTCTAGATAGATGCACAACCCAATTAGTTGCTTTATAACCCCCTGGAGGACACTCACCGAATATTAAAAAGCTCCACAAAAATATAATAAAATAAAAAGTTTTACTACATAGACTTTTTAGTTACGCCATATATTTCCATGATGATTTCTGTGCAGAAAATGTGCAGATTGGTACATATAAACATTTGGGTCGTTATGATTTCTATCAAAAAGAGATTCTCAAAATGATTGACAGAAAATATGACATTCTATGAAATTTCTTTCTTCTCATAAAAATTTGAAGAGAGATTATCTGCTATTTCAGTGAATGTCTCAGTGAAAAGCATATAATAGATGATATAATTTAATTGATATATAATACATGACAAGGTGGCTCAGTGGCTAAGATGCTGAGCTTGTTGATCAGACATATCGGCAGTTCGAATCCCTAGGGCTGCATAATGGAATGAGCTCCCGTTACTTGTTCCAGCTTCTGCCAATCTAGCAGTTCGAAAGCATGTAAAAATGCAAATAGAAAACTAGGAACCACCTTTGGTGGGAAGATAACAGCGTTCCATGTGCCTTTGGCATTTAGTCATGCCGGCCACATGACCACGGAGACGCCTTCAGACAGCGCTGGCTCTTTAGCTTTGAAATGGTGATGAGCACCGCCCCCTAGAGACGGGAATGACTAGCATGCATGTGGAAGGGGAACCTTTACCTTTACATTTATTTGGTGACTTCATTTGTCTGGTTCTGATATTATTTCAGTGCTTTTGCTTAAAAAAAAAACCCCGAAGAATGTAAGTTAATTTTTTCAAAACAGATTTTTGTGTATGTTTGATTTCAGCAGCATGATGAACTTAATGAAACACTGACTTTTGAACATGGGGAAAACCTTAAGAAAAAACTGGAGGAGGAATTATGGCATTGGAGGATGGGTATGCTTCTTGAAATTATTAACATTGTTATCGGTCAGATAAAATCACTGGGATCTACTCGCAGTTAGACTCCAACTATGTTGATTTTCAGTAGATGACTGTGGCCCAGTCTTTTTTGATTATTTGGGCTTGGTTTGCGTATGCATGCATGCATGTATATATGTATGTATATAGTGGTATTTATTTTACAACATTTATATAGCTTCCTACTCACTCATAGCAACTCTAGGCATCTTACAAACAGTAAAAAATAGGGGGAAAAGATAAAAAACAATAACCTCCCATTTTCTGAGGACGAGGACAGGATCCTTGGGGTGTTGCATCTTTCCATCTGTATGTTAGATTCGTGTCTCTCCTAGTAGGTCTTAGCTATCCAGGAAGTTATATGTAGCTGGTTTCAAGCAGTGGCAAATACTTCTTTGCAGGAGGGTGTGAAGGAGGCTGGCCTTGAAGGAGGCTGTGGTCTATCTATTCCTTAAGAAGCCATTGCTTGACCCAGCAGCATTGGACAGTTTTGGGGGGAAAGTTTCTGGGAACGTGATTGGCCTGGTGGTGACCTTAAAAGCCTGCATGCCATGCAACCAGGTTACTTGTGGGATTGCCAGTACCTCATGGTTTCTCCCTCCCTTCCCATGTTCTGGGTTCCCTTAGTGAAAAAAAAGTCACCTAACAGATCTTAGAAAATATGCTTTGTCTGCCATGATGCCTGTCCTTTGGAACGGCTCCCCCCACCATAGGATGGCTATGGACAATCCTAGCCTTTCTTGGCTTTTGAAAGCCTATGAAGGCCTGGCTCTTTCTTCAAGCTCAGATGATAATTAATGAAGCTTTGGTGTATGTAGGCTACAGGGGAAACGGTTATTTTTACAGGGGCTGCAACTTAGGTTTTGTTTGTGTTTTTAATAGTAATTTCTCTTAGGCTTGCTAGCCAGATGGACAGACATAGAAAGTTGATTAACCTGTCAATAAATAATCATCTTCTTATTAAATAGTTGCATTTCTCCATATCAAATTTCTATTTTTTAATAAATATACATTTTTGAGAACTGACTCACTTTCCTATTGCAGAATGTCCACATCTATGTTGGTCATACAGAAACTGCAATCTGCATTTGATCATCTTCATAATGTGTTGAGAAAAGTGTGTGTGTTACTCTTAGGGCAATTTAATACTGATTATTTAGTCCATACGAGTAATAGCTTTTAAACAAAATTTTATCATAAGACTTCTTCAAAAAAGAAAAAAGAAAACCACCTAGATGAAATACAGGTAGTCCTCGACTTATGACCCCAACTGAGTGCAAAATTTATGTTGCTAAGTGAGACATTTGTTAAGTGAGTTTTGCTCCATTTTATGACCTTTCTTGCCATTGTTGCTGAGAATCACTGCAGTTGTTAAGTTAGTAATGCTATTGTTAAATGAATGTGACCTTGCCATGGACTTTGCTGCAGTGGTGGGATTCAAATTTTTTTACTACCAGTTCTGTGGGCGTGGCTTGGTGGGCGTGGCATGGTGGTCATGGCAGGGGAAGGATATGGCAAAATCACCATTCCCTCCCCACTCTATTAACCTGCTTTCCAGCTTTGTTCTCCTATGCAGGGCAACAAAAGAAGACCCAGCCGATCAGCTGGGATTCAGGAGGCAGCTAATAGATTGGGGCGGGGCTAGCCAGAGGTGGTATTTGCTGGTTCTCCGAACTACACAAAATTTCTGCTATCAGTTTGGTAAAACTGGTTAGAACTGGCTGAATACCACCTCTGCTTTGGTTGTCAGAAGGTCGCAAAAGATGATCACATGACCATTATAAAATATGAGTCAGTTGCTAACAGTCTGAATTTTGATCATGTGACCACGGGGATGCTGCAACAGTAATAAATGTGAAAAAGTTATGTCACTTTTAGTGCCATTGCAACTTTGAATGGATACTAAATGAACTGCTACAAGTTAAGGATTACGTGTAGATAATGGCATGAATAAGCTATAGTTAGCATCAATATTGTCTCCTTTCAGAAAAAAAATAATAAAGATTTTTCTCCTTAGAAGTTGATAATGAAGATGTGATAAACGAAAGAAAACATTGGCAAATCTCAACTCCACAGACACTACTGAATCTCTTAGAAAATGCAGATATCACATCTGTATGGAATACTATGGACGAAGGTGACCTTTCTGAAATATTTTACTTTGTTTTAAATAAAATGTGTTCATTATATCTTCAGAAATGCAGTGCGATAGACCTTAGCTTTCTGGCCTGAACTATTATTTCAGTAGTTTTCAAGATATAAGAGCCATAGTGGCGCAGTCATTAGAATGCAGCATTGCAGGCTAATTCTGCCGACTGCCAGCAGGTTGATTCTGACCAGCTCAAGGTTGACTCAGCCTTCCATCCTTCTGAGGTTGGTAAAATGAGGACCCAGATTGTTGGGGGCAATTGGGTAAACTGCTTAGAGAATAAAGCACTGTGAAGTCTTAAGTGCTTTTGCTATGCAGTATTCATCCTTTAAATAAGATATTGGCAACATTATCATGAGGACCCGGATTGTTGTTGGGGGCAATATATGCTGACTCTGTAAACCGCTTAGAGAGGGCTGAAAGCCCTATGAAGCGGTATATAAGTCTACTGCTATTGCTATTGCTATTAACATGTTCATTGTTTTCCTGATTATTCCCAACACAATATGTTTGCTTTTTCAATTGTTTTGCTTCAAAAATACTATCCAAAGAAGTATAAAACAACATTTTATTACATCATATTCTGTCCACTTTACCTCAGATTGAAGCACAAAACCAGTTAATACAGTCTAATAACAATACATACTAATTTAGGAAAAATAGTTTGATAACATTTGTGATAGAGTACCAAGGAGAAGAGGGGTAGAAGTATGAAATTTGTCACTCAGTGATAAAAGTATCCTTTTCTCACTTGCAAAAGAGGAGAAATAAAACAATTTATCTACCTCCTGTTTTCCCATGGGCACTTTTGCTCTCCCAAAAATCTGTTGCAAAGATTTGTGGAATTCTGTAGAACAGTATGGGAAGGATGACTAGGAATTCCAATGAGAGGAAGTTATTACAAATTGTTCTACTAGGCAGAACATTTCTATGATTGAGAGTCTTCCTCCTGGTGCAAGGAGACACTGAATCTGGTCCAGGGCCCAACAATTCTGCATAACATGAAATGATGACTTCAGGAGTACTTCTGTCTCCCATGTTGTCATACATTATTCTACACATGGCTTCTTGAGGTATCTCATGAACTATCACTGTGGTTCTCCATAGCCTAGATAATTGATTTTGCTCAACAACAAATTAATGTTCACTACAAGTAATTATCACTTAATGACCGCAATTGAATCCACAATTTTGGTTGTATGTCATTGTGGTCATTAAGCAGGTCGTCATGTCACCGGACTCTTGCCTGTTTTTACAATGGTCATAAAGCAAACCACTGTGGCCTTTAAGTGAATCAAATGGTGAAGTGAACCACATGGTCGTTAAGCAAATCCAGCAAAATATTGCAGATGTCTGTGGGGCACTGCCACCAGTCATATAAATACAAGCTGGTTGCCAAGCATCCAAAATGCAATCATGTGGCCATAAGGGAGGATTATGACAGTTATAACTTCAAGGATGGATCATATGTAAGTTTGAATCTGCCATAACATAACTAAATGATCAGTCATTAATCTAGGACATATAATCTTGGTTGGAGGATAATTCAGTAATTTCCAGGAGCAAAAGAAAAAGGAGGGATGAAGAAAAATGGAAATGTATCACAAAGAGGATCAAATCTATATTATTATTATTATTTTCAAAATACAGGTAGTCCTTGACCTATGACAACTAAGCCCAAAATTTCCACTGCTAGGCAAAACAGTTGTTAAGTGAATTCTGCCCCATGATATGACCCTATTTCTCAGAGTTGTTAAATAAATCACTGCAGTTAAGTTAGTAACATGTTTGTAAAGTGAACCTGGCTACCCCATTGACTTTGCTTGTGCTCACATGACACCGGGACACTGCAACCATCATAAATATATGCCAATTGCTAAGCGTCTGAATTTTTATTACGGTACCAGAGATGTTATAATGATTGTACGTGTGAAAACAGTCATAAGTAACTTTTTTCAGTGTCGTAACTTTGAACGGTCAATAAACAAATGGTTTACCTGTCAAGGACTACCTGTATAAAGAATGAAACATTTTTTTCCTCAGCTGGCCAGATAAATGAAATACATTCCGAGTTACCTGATGCCAGGAAAAAATGGAGCCCCAAATTACCAAGTACTCTAATGAATATGTTAGCAGAAGCAGAATGCACCAGTGACACATTATGCCAAACTGAAGAACCTAGTAAGTTGTTCCTTTGCATTTTTTATTATTTGAAATTAAGGATATCTCTGCATAACAGGTTGAGCTTGAGTAGAACTAGAATAGCATCTAAGATTTGGATCCACTGGTGTCCGTGTACAGGCAAAGAGTGGAATAGATGGCGCAGTGGTTAGAGTGCAGTACTGCAGGCCACTTTAGCTGACTGCTATCTGCAGTTCAGCGGTTCAAATCTCACCGGCTCAAGGTTGACTCAGCCTTCCATCCTTCCGAGGTGGGTGAAATGAGGACCCAGACTGTTGGGGGCGATATGCTGACTCTGTAAACCGCTTAGAGATGGCTGAAAGCTCTATGAAGCGGTATATAAGTCTAACTGCTATTGCTATTGCTATTCCATCATTTCCTCACTCACCCAATTTCTGCTGCAGTGTCCTAGGGTAGGGGATTGTGTAGAACAGGGATGTCAAATTCAATTTCACTGAGGGCGACATCAAGTCTGTGGTTGACTTTGTGTTTGATACCCCTGGGGTAGAATATATTTTGAATGCTCCATGAAGGAAAGGGGAGAATTGTGCACAAGGAAGTAAGTGTGCTTAACCCTCATCCTAAGAGAGCTTATTCTACCAGGATAAGAGGAATAAATCTGAAACATTAAATTAATTAAAAATATGACAGGAAGGTATCCAAATTTTGTAAATGTAATTTCTGAATGTCATGTGCATGGAAAGAATATAAGTCACCTTAAGAAAATCAAAATCATTTGCTTGCTTGTAAGCAACAAATGATAATTTTGCCATGTTTCACAATAACATACCCCCCACACTTCATACATATATGTGCAATTATATTAATTACAAAGATGATGTAACTTTAAAGCAGCAATATTTACTTGGGTTTTTACAAAAGGCAGCCTGATTTTTTAAATATATTTTTGCAGTTCTATTAGAATGATCAATTCTTCATAATGGGAATTTTTTTATATATGCAAGAGAGTGATCCTCTAATCATTAGGCCATATAATTAATTTATTTAAAACATTCACTTTTTAGAGAAAAGATATTTTATTCATAACATCCTTTTAATTTTTCATCTCACTTTTTCTGGAGTTAAGTTCCATGGAAGCTGCTGATGCTAGTTTCTAAGTAAATAGATAGTCATATTAGGAATAAATGGATGAATAATTAAAACTGGTTAGGATTTTCAGATTCTTACGTAACTAATGAGCAACACAATCACTTTCACAATTTTTGGGCGATACCAAATGACATAAAACAGAACCTAATTTGTATAATATTTTGACAAACAATTCTAATAGCTTACTAAATACAACTTCCAGAAATGATGAAACATTAACTCAGATATGAATATTTTGAGTCTATATCTCAAATATTTTCCCAAAAGTTAAAAACTAAGACCTTTTGCTTAGAAAAAAACAAGTTTTAATTAAGATTGAGCTGACTGAAATGTCAGCAATGAAAGTATTACATTCAACATTAAAGATAAAAACCCCAACTTACACATAAACTTACACATTGAATTCACTTGCCAACTTAAGCCATAATGTTTGGCTTTGACCTAAGTCTAGTGTGATCCCTGTCACTGTAACTTGTAAATCATATAAGCCACGATTTATTGTTTAGTCGGTTGTGAGATATTCAACAAATCAGATTTAAGCACATAATACTTTCGTGCAATACAAAATCAGATCAAGAAAGGAATACATTTATGTAAAAATGTAGACCTGTTGTGAATATGAAAGAAGTCCTTCATCCTCCATCTATAGAACTTTTATTTGTAATACAATATATTGTTGGTATTACTTCAAGCTGTCTTAGTACATTTCATGAAATGGTACATGAAACTTGGTATATGAAATCACCATGAAATGAAAACTCTATTCTTTCAGAAGAAACAATAAATCACCAGATTCCAGAATCTATTAAAGATGCTCCAGAAATTAATTTAGCTGCTAACCCAGATGAAAGTAAACTTGATCCAAGATCTGATGATGATGATACGTAAGTCATTACAACTGCTGGATGTGTAACTTGGCCCTTTGAAAAACTGGTTCATACAAACTTTCTTCAGTGCAATTTTTAAATTTATAATAGTCCAGATTTTAATATATGTACAAGTATGCAAAGCTGAGAATGACAACCACATCAAATACATGCATTGGAACAAAACAATAAATTAAATACTGCCAATCAGAAACCATTTTGCTCTGCATGTCTCAAAAGTAATGGGAAGGTCCATCAGACCACACACAACTGCTCATGTTCTAACGTAAGTTTAACTGATGACATATAAATTGTTTAAATGGATTGAATATGAGTCATTAAAAGATGAGCAAAATTGTTGTGATGAGTTACATTTTGCAGTTAATCTGATCAATTCCCAATTGCAGCATTCAAAGTTAATTGTATGAATGTGCTTATAAAACATTACACTGCACATAGATAATTCATCTATATAATAAAATCCACTGAGATAACAAGGAGCTTACATGTTCCTTGTTGAATTTTTTAGCTGGCTGGAATTGTGTGGAGCTGTGAATTTGTGTAACCAAAGCCCCTCATGATGACACTGTATCACTCTAGTTTTCTATTTATAATGGATTCAATATATATTACACCAGTGGTTCCCAAACTTGGCAACTTTAAGACTTGTGGACTTCAACTCCCAGAATTCTCCAGCTAGCTCTTCTGGCTGGAGAACTCTGGGAGTTGAAGTCCACAAGTCTTAAAGTTGCCAAGTTTGGGAAACACTGTACTACACCAATAGTATGGAGATTGCTAGAGAGGTGATATTGTTTATTTAATGGATCTATAAGAGCATGTCTTTCTATAAATATCATTTTGACAGTTCTGCCCAAATCATAATCCTGATTCAGATTCTGCATTCAACCAAGCCTATTATATAGATGTTATGTACCATATTTTTTGGAGTATGACGCATCATTTTCTCTCAAAAGAGGGTGAAAATCTTGGTGCGTCTTATACACTGAATTTTGGCCTCCTGAAACCCTGCCCACTTTGCAAAAATGGCTGTGCAGAGCCTTTAGGAGGCTTCCAGAGTGCTCCTGGGGGCTGGGGAGGATAGAAATGAGCAAAAAACAGGCCGTTTTTTGCCCCCCCCCCAGCCCCCAGGAGAACTCTATAAGCCTCCTAAAGGCTATGCATGCCCTTTTTTTGGACAAAAAACTGGCCATTTTTGGGAGGTCTGCAGAGTGCAAAAGCTTTTTTTTTAATTTGCCTCTTCAAAATCTTGGTGCGTCTTATACTCTGGTGCATCTTATACTCCTAAAAATATGTTACATACCACACTGCTACCATCTAGTACTCAGAAGTGTAAACATAGCATTTTGGTAATTTAGTAAAAACATAACACCATTTTTTGTTCTTGTACAGAAACTTTGAAGAATCTGAAGATGAACTAAGAGATGAGCTAGTGGAATCTTTAAAAAATGTGGTAACATCTCTAGAGGAGGAGATTTCAAAAAATCCAATTGAATCAGCAAACACAGAACAACAAAAACAATCTATAGCCAATAGCAAACTTAGCAAATCTAATGACAGCTTGGAAGATAATAATTACTTGACTGGAGAAAAACAAAGTGCAATCAGTTAACACATTCTTCGGTAATAAATACTTAAGAATTAATAATAAAGTGTATGAATGTTAAGAGCTGAGTTTGGAAAGTTGGTGCTTCATCTTTTCGTTGTAAATTTTACAGTTGTCTAGTATAGCAAAGTAAAGATCTGCTGGAATTCTTCTCTCTCTTGGATTTCATATACCTCTTTGCCATTAAAACAGTTAATGTAGTGATACTTTCACAGATGCACTTCAAATCAACTTTATAACCACAATAAATATAGAGCTTCACTACTCATCACCATGTTTCAGTTTTTGGATGAAAACAGATGATAGACATTTTTCAGTAAACATTTTGACTATTGGTCTGTAATGTAAAGTTGTAGGCATTCAATCTTGGATAAATTCTATAGCTTTTAGTTAACTAAAGAATAGATTATGGAAAGAATTAAAATAATGGAATAAATTTAATCCCTAATACAATTAAATCATTAAATATATGCTCAATGCTATTATGACAAGAATTAGATAATCATTATTGAATGCTGGATAATTTTGTGATAATTTGGGGAAGTAGGACCTTAAATACTACTTGACATTAAAATCTGTCAAATATGCTCTATCAAGATATCTTTAGTATTTAAAGAGTAAAATCTTTGTTGCACTATAAATAGAAATGTAGAACATGTATTTGTAGTTCCATAATAACTCAAGTATGTCATATATTTATAAGCAAAATATTTTATTTAAATAGCCGTTCTACAGATAATAAGAATGTTTCCTCAAATTCTTGATCAGCAAACCTCTTCACAGATTCACGAGCGCTTTGTCTGATCTGCAGCTTTTTTTCAGGAGATAATGAAAAGATGTGAGCCATAGAGTCTGCATAGCCATCTTCATCTTCTGCTAGAAATCCAGTTATATTTCTTTCATATGGTACCACAATATCTAATTTTGGGCCTCCAGAATTGTGAGCAAGAATAATTGTGCCAGCTGCCATACATTCAACAATTCCTGTAGAAGACATAGAACAGATTGCTGTAATACTGTGGTTCTTTCATTCTTTCTCAGCCAAGAATGCCATTTCCTATTACAACTTTGCATACAAAAGAAAAGGCACAACTCTTTGTTTTCTTAATTTCTAAAGTAGCACGCGCAACCAATGAAAATTTGGAACAACTTGGTAAAAAATACTCTCGAAAAAGTAGTGATCAAACTACATTTCTGTGTTTATCCTAAGATTCCAGTCCTGATCCTGCAGTCACAAAATCCAAGTAAATTACTCACAGGAAATTAAAGACATGGTCTCTTTGACTGGCAGCTCTAGCTTCAACAGTAAGGAGAGTCAATGGAAAAAAAGAGGCTTTAACCAGTTTTGGCTGGTGCAAATTTTCAGCCCTATATGAAGAACTATCTACCTTTGAAGACAACACAGAAGCAACAGGAGATACAGAATGCAGTGTCTGGATTGAGTAGAAGAACTTGATAGAGCAGAATAACACTGATTTTGAGGCCATATCATTGGCTGCTAATAAGCTTCTGAGTTCAAATGTACTGGATATATCCTTATATGAAATTTGTGTTAATATTGGATTGATTTAATGTTGGTTACCGCCCAGTCTGCACAATTGGGGCAGGCTATAGATACTATGAAATCAATAAATTTCAGAGAAATGTTTAATGCATTGCAGCATACTAGTGTATCTCCTATCAAACATTTCACTATTATGGATTTCTGGGGAGATTGCCTCTTGTTGATCTTTATTTAAAATTCCTAAGTATTCGGTTTCAGTATTTAATAGAGTTCACAATTTGGCCATGAATGTCAAAAATATTAAACAAATTAAAGTTAATAATGTATAATGTTTATCACATGCGAATCATAATAAGTAGCATTTGCTACTTTTTAGGACTATGAGTGAACAGAGAAAACCTGAGATAATCATGTAAAATCTTGATGAGAATATAATATCTGGTTATTAATAGTAAGTATTGATGGCAGTTTATATACCATTTTAGGTCAGGCCACTATAGTAAATCGCCATGCGAATTTGATGTAGTATTGAGGACAGAATGTCATTTTTTGATCTGAAAATGCAAATTAAACCTTAGTTACACAATCTATTTTACTGACCCAAATTTTCTAAGCAGCAGTTTATAGAACATACACAAAAATACCTACCAATTCCAAAATGTTCGTTCCACATGGTGTGAAGTCCAATAGTTGCATCAGCCAGATGCCTCTTTAGTTCTTCAAATGGAATATTAACTTTGAATTCCACCTTTTTTTCAATGCCTAACTCTTGACAGAGCTTCTTAAGTTCATTTACACGCTGGTCATCATCTAGGTTACGACAGCCCCCAATCAGAATAAGCTTTGGCAAGAGTGGCTGTCCTTCAGTTTTAGCCAAAAATTTAGCAAAAGCTCTAATCTGCAGGGAGTGGTCCTTCTCCGGCCTGAACTGGCTTATAGAAACAACTGTTGGTTTTATAATCCCATTTTCTTCTTGTAGTGGAATATCCAGGAAAGTCTGTACGTCACAAGGTGGATACACAATGCTTGTGCGGTCGTTACACCTCCAGAGGGAAAGGATGTGATTGAGAGTCCATGTAGAATTAACCATGACAGTGTCACTGCAAGAACCAACTAGCCCATATATGGAAGCAAAAAAGTAATAATATACAAGTTTCATTTTACTTAAGAGGGGATTTTTTGTGATAATGGCTGCATTATTAAATCGTGCATGCTGATTCCTGACCACAGAAAGCATATCAGTACTGATTGTAGGATAGTGAACATAACATCCTATTCGGCAACCTCCCAGATATTTAAAGAGAGGAAGCGTGAATGCATAACCCATGGAGTCAATATAAATATCAGGGATACACTTCGTAAGAGCTTCCCAGCCAAGAAACACAGATCCTAAGCTCTGACCTAACAGAGTGAAATACGGATAACGGGAGGCTTCTACTAAGTAGCGCTTATTCAAGAACACAAACTTCACAGGGTGTTTCAGTCTGATGTTGAATCGCCTGTATGCACCTTGTAGAATATGCTCAGCTCTAGCATCGGTATCACCTGTGTAGACAATATAGGAGGCATTCTTGTACCTGGAAATAAAATGTTTTCCTATTAAAATATTTCAGATGCAGACAACATTTTGTTCTCTTTTCAGCTAATTTTAAATCCATGGCTTAATGCTATATAATACCTGGATATTTAAAAATTACTCCCAAAGCTTTTGCTATCAGGCTTTGCAGAAACTCAAAAAAAAATGTTTTAAATGAGGAAAGATGATTAATTATTCTGTCACGCTATGCCCATAGCAGAGTTTTATAGTTGGTTTCTTAAGAAGACGTTATATGCTATATCAGCCTCAATCCATTTAGAGCATCACAGAAGTTTTTACAAGGCCCACCTCACAAAAATAGATAGACAAATAGACAGACAGACAGACGATAGATCAGATAGACAGACATGTTTGTGTGTTCTAAATTAAATTCCAATCATATATGTTTAAATCAATTTTAAATGAGCTTTGTGACAATGTAAACGCAAGCATGGTTTACTGAGGGTTTTTTTCCTTAGATGTATTCACTATTGTCTAAGAATGGTCCCACGCGAGAATTCATATATTACTAAAACACTCATTGTCATGAACTTTTAACTGGGTGAAATAGTGGAAATTGCTGTATAAAAACCACCATGAGAGATCAGTGGGGTATAACAGCTTTGAGGGAGATTTTCCATTGTCACTAAAAATAAACTTTTGTTTCCAATCTCTACCTCAGTGTATTCAGTTTTGGGCCAGGGCACATGAGGCAATGAACCTAGTGTTGGGCTGGGACAGCAATAGGGCAACTATTTTTGAACCAAGGTACCTCAAATGGGCTAATTTACAGATTGTGCCCCAAATCTTGGACCCATGACTCCCAAGGGAATGAAATTTGGGGAATTTTGGGGCTGCTTCAAGTGCTGCTACTGCACTTGCAATCACGTGATCATTTTCAATGTTCTGTGACAGTTTCCCAACCAGATCACAATCCCTCGCTCCCTCTCCCATCCACCAGCAGCCACTTAGCTACCTGGAGGGGAGGGGGTTTCCAATGCTCCCTGCCAGATTCCCACCAGAAACTCAATGGGGAAGTCAGAAGTCACTTCTACACTCAATGCACTCTATTTAGGTAAGGAAATATGCTTGAAATAATGACCCAACGAGGAGAGTATGTTTTCTAGTTAATTATATACATTTGGCTCAAAACTGACCTACTCTTCAATATCTTCATCAATGAGTTAGGCGAGGGGTTAGAAGGGGAACTCATTAAATTTGCAGATTGCATCAAGCTGGCAGGAATAGCCAATACTCCAGAAGATAGGCTCAAGATACAGAAGGTACAGAAATACATATATTGAAGCATGAACATGGCTTTACTTACTTTTTCTGTAAAGCTCTCAAAGCACACCATAGCACTCTCTCTCCACCACCACCAGCATTACAATATGGATGGAAAAATGCAACTACGAGTGGCTTTTCCCCATCATCCCCTGGAGGCGTTAGTAGATTTCTCCGTCGTTGAAGCCAGAATCGTAAACAATAGAGTAGAAGCAACAGACAGAGAAATAAACCTCCAGCTAATATGAAGGCAGGTATAATCAATGAATAGAGTAATCTGTGAGGGTGGAAGAAAATGCAAAGTTGAATTATAGCTTTAAGACATCATAATGAACTCTGGAAACTATTCAAAAACTTAGAAAAGATAATGCTTGAAATATTTGTGTTCCTAATAATAACATTCATTAATGCATGTCATTTGTTTAAGTAAATTAGCTATGAGAGACAAAATGCAAGATCACCATCCACAGAGCAGAACTTAAATTTTACAAAAAGCTAGAAACGAAAAGTCAATTTATTTGACCCCCTATTAAGGAATGTGTTTGTTCTCTTGCCAGTAATCATAAAGGGGTATTCTCCTACACGGATGAGAGAATAAAATCAGTGGCAAGTCATCTTTAACCAGATTTCAAAACCAGTACATATCCATAGATTTTGTAGGTTCAGCCATACCGCATAATATATTTTTACCAAGAAAGCATCTACTGTACTATCTATGTAAATGCTTCCCTGTGGGGTTGGTCTACAGCTTTTATATGTGCTTAGCAATGTAGCTCTGTAACAGAGAAGGGGCTTTGCATGTGTGTATATTTTTAAATAGCATCAACCCAGATGGATTGTTATCTCAAGGCAATGAACATACCTAATACTCCCAGTTCCTATTTTCCCCACAATATTCTGTAAAGTGGGCCGGGCTGGGCTGTCAGACAGTGATTGACCCAGGGTTACCCAGCTGGCTTTCATCCTAACGGAGGTCTAGAAATCCCAGCCTCTTGGTTTTCTGGCCCAGCACCTTCACTACAACACCAAAATAAATAATTGATTTGCCCATTTGGGTTAACAATAGGAAAGTATTCAATTTCAAGGCATTCTCCAATAAGGGTATCTGAGCTGCAGCAACCCTTCCAATCACAAGTGGTCTATACAAGACAGAGACGAATAATGCAGATCTATCACCAAGACTGCTACTGATTCTTGAATCAAGATAATCCGTTCTTAATGGTGGGAACATCCTGGTAAAATCCTAAGCATTTGAATGAAAAAGGGGCAAAAAGGCTGATCTGACAAATTCATACAGGTGAAGAATTAAAAAGGAAGATGGAGCATACAATTTACAAAAGTTCATTTAGTGACCGTTTGAAGTTACAACAGCACTGAAAAAAATGACTTATGACCGTTTTTCATACTTACGAACTTTGCAGCATCCCCATGATTATGTGAGCAAAATTTAAATGCTTGGCAACTGGTTCATACTTATGACCATTTCAGCGTCCCCGGGGTCGTGTGGACCACCTTTTGCAACCTTCTGACCAGCAAATTAAATGGGGACGCCAGATTCACATGAAAACCATATTACTAATTTAACCACTGCAATGTTACTGAGTTACTAACTCATCAACTGCAGTGATTCACTTAACAACAGAGGCACAAAAAGTCGTAAAATGGGACAAAACTCACTTAACAAATGTCTTATTTAACAATAGAAATTTTGGGCTCAATTGTGACCATAAGTTACTGTATTGGAGTGGCATTTTGCCCTTTTTTTTTTGAGCAGTACATACACGTTTTGGCTTAGGTCTCATTCGCTCTAATTTTTAGCTTTTAGAAGAAGAATGGAAAACGAACATTTATTATACCCAGACATTTATGGCTGAAAAAATAAGTAGACGGTGAGAGATTTTCCTGTAGTTTCCACTTTACAATGAAGACGCTACCTATTCCTCTTCAGGTTGATAGTCCTTGCCCTTGATGATCGGAAAGGAATCTAGGAAATTTATATCGTGATACATCTTACTCTTTTAAAATATCACAAGGCCAACTCTCACCTGAAAAGCTGTTTGAAGGTCCCCATTTTAGGGGCGAACGTACCCCATCCAGGCCCGGAACTCGTTGGTTCGCCCCGACGCTCTAGCCCTGAAACGACTATTCCCTTCCCAAACGAATTGTGGGCGTAGGCGTAAATCAGAGGCGGGGGGAACTATGGCTCCTTTATGACTCGTGGACTGCAACTCCCAGAATTCCTGAGCCAGCCATGATGGCTCAGGAATTCTGGGAGTTGAAGTCCACGAGTCATAAAAGGGCCATAGTTTCGCCGTCCCTGGACTGTCAATGAATGCTTCTGATCGTTGACAGCGTTGCATGCAGAGGGACGAAAACATGTAGACGTACCTGTTTCCCATAACGGCTCCAGATTTACAATGTCTGCCTCTTCCTTGTTCAAAGACCTACGATCCTTTCCTGATAGCCAAAAGTCTGTCGCCGTTTCTAGGACAAGAAAGATTGCCGTCGGTGGAGGTTGCCATCGGTTGTCAAAACACCCACTTTAACGCCGCTGATAATGCGAAGCGCAGCCCACAAAGTCTTTTAACAAAGCGGGTTAGTGGGGAAAACTGCTACCAGACGCCTAAATTTTGACTACCGTAAAGTGCCACGTATCTCTCTCTTCCTACAAAATACCCTATGAGAGCCCGCAAAAGCAGCCAATAAGTACACAGACATGAACCGCGCAAAAATTTGAAGTGCTTTTCTTGCATTGCTTGAAGGTGGGAAGTGGCTCGTAAAGAAATTTGCAGTGAGGCATGAAAAAGAGCAGCTATTGGCTGGGTAAATAAAATGCACATTTTAATCTGTAAAACGTTCTTACAGCCGCTTCGGGGGCTGTAAGGGGGACCTCTAACAATTTAAAATGAAACCTGTCTAATACGAATCAATTCAAATTTCCACTTGCAGATAGTTTTCTTAAAATATCATTAACAAATACAGTTCGTTATTGGTCGATTATGATTATAAAGCTAAATAGAGTTAAAACTGGAACGTTGTTTTAAAAGCACCCCATTGGTTTTATGTAGATTTATTGGAGCTACAAAATGAATTCACATCTATTGAAGTCCACAAGGTGTTGCTCTTTGATACTTTTCTAAAGCTCTCTTAAAACTTGCAATGCAGAAAACCTGCACTGGTGAGTTTTCTGTAATGTTATTTTTAGTTTTTAAAATTATTTTAATTATTTGTGCTTATAGTTCGTAATTATGTCAGTTTATTTTTCTTTTTTCACATACTATGGAACTTGACGTGACCTTAGAATGAGGATATGGTGAAAATATAATTTGTGGTACTATTTTAAATTGCTAAAGAGTATTTCATAATTACAGAGAAGAATCTCACTAATTTTGTCTAAAGTTTCTGCAGGCTGATTGTCGAACCCGAAATTGACATGGGTAGCCATTTTATTTAGCTCTTTATTATACTCATTCATTCCTTTTCTTTCTCTTTACCATGTAAGGGTTTTTTGGGGGGGGGCTCGCCACATTCTTAAGGCTGGGGGGAGCGAATAGATAGTGAGGATTGCTTTGGCTAGATGACCTTCTTTCCCGTGGGAACAGAGGCTGTCCTTGCTGAGAGCTGGAGGTGAAGTTGGCTTTTATTGGAGAATGTGACTTTCTAATTTTCAATATTATGTGGTGTATTTATTTATTTATTTATTTATTTATTTATTTATTTATTTATTATTAAATCAATTTATAGACCGCCCAATCCCGAAGGACTGTAATTCCGGTTTGTGTCAGATTTGGAATTAAAACAGACTTCGCCAATTTAATGTCTACCTAAATAAAAGAAATTTGTTTTGAAAGATGGAGTTTGCATATTTCTTTTGAATAGGTTCCATCACTTGGAAACCTGACATTATTCCGGATCAAATTTCTTTTATTTAAGTCTACACAAAAGGGGGTAATTTGAAATAATTATATTTTTAAAAATTGTTTAAAAGGAAATTTTATTTTATTTTTCTTCAAAATCTAGGCAGACTATGGAAAAATTGATATGAAAAGTATACCATAATTCTCAATATGATTATTATTTCTGACATGTATAACTTTGAAATCTCAAACTGGACAGCAGGATTTAACAAATACAAAGACTTTCAGGGAATGGAAGAAAAGACAAACAACAAAGGAAGAATTTGTAACTATATTTATTGTCGCTTATATACAATTTCTAGGGATTTTTCAGCAGTTGGGGAAAAGACTAGGGAAATGCAAAGTTTTGAAGGACTTGTTTATACAGATTCTTTCTAGCTTCTGATCCTCTGAAATGTACCTACTTTTTTTAATTGCAGATTGCAATGTGTGCATTTGAATCTAAGAAAGGAACCAATCTGATTTCTCTGTTGAGCAGAACAAATTATCCAAAGAGAAGAAGAAAAAAAAGAGAGGTAGCTTATCTACTCAGGAAAAATGGGGAAACATCAGAGAATAGTCCTAGAATCAGTTAGACTCAGCAGAGGTACTTGACCAACAATTTTCATGACTTCATATACTCATGAAAACTTAGGGGTAAGGATAAACTGTTTTTTTCCTAAGAGAAAAAGCCCAGAATTTTAACCTCTACTTGTTTTTCATTTTATATTTTATATAAAACAAAGGACTTCCAATTATTTTTCAATGCATGAACATTTTTAAAAAATCATTATGAAAAAGAGATGCTTCCATTTATTAGGAAACTTTTTTCCCAACTACAGTGATTTTAGCTTCAATTTGTTGAATGATTTAGAATACAGTGTAAGGCATTTCTTTGCAATTTGTTCTTCCTCCTAGAATGTAAAAGTAGGACTAAATGCTTACAGATTAGCTTCAAAGTAATACTAGATTTTCAAAATGGGCAATAAAGATGACAGCATTTGTAATTTATTTCTTCTAGAGTCAGGATGGATTTTCCAGATAGAGCAGTTAGATTATACGTAGCAAAATTAAAGATTTCTTTGCTTTAAGATATGTAGTAATTTATGCTTACCTTTCTGATCAGTGAGCATTCAGAATTACTGAAAGTAATATGGATGTTTAAATACAACTAATATTAAAGCCAGTTAATAATTAAGAGCCTGGAAAGAGACCTGTTCTGACCAGCCCTAGCAGAAACAAGAAACAGACACTGTGTCACAAAAAAACCCCTCTTTATTTATCTCCTGTGAATTAATGGCATTCACACACCAAAAAGTCCAGGCAATAAGCCTTCAAAGAGTTAACTGCAGTAACATACCTTATCAGTTCCTTGGGATAATTGCCAGGCCGACCTTCCAGCTGAAAGGTTGCAAATTCTGTTTGCAAGTTGCAAAGTTGCAAGTTCTGGCAAGCAGTCTCTGTGGCACAAAACATGATGAGAAATATGAACTGTTGTCTCCTACAACAACCATTCCCCTTTCCTTCTATTCATTCCCTACCCAAGGAGGGGCCATTCAACATCCATATGTGCCTTGCTTCCCGAGTTGACTCCTTGTTCTCCGTTGTTCACCTCTCCTAACAGCTCTGCATATATGTGCATTTGGAACAAGCCCCAGCTGTTCTTCCTCCTCACTCATAGCAGCCTCCAAAGACAGATGCCTCTCTGGTGGCTGAAAATGTTGGATGGCCCGGGCTCTATCTCTGTATACGACGTCGAGCATCCATCAGAGGCTTCCCCAGGCCCAAGAACTGGCCCATGTTTTTCCCCAACCTCCTCATCATCCAAGTCTGCCGTCAACTCCACTGGCACCTGGTGGGTCACAACAAGACCCATTGTTTTGATGCTGAAGAAAAAAGTAATACAGTAATGCAGAATTTGAGAGATTGATAGCTTGGCAGCAGGTCAGAAGGCTTTCCTTGCTTGCTTTTGAGAGCAACATTTTTACATGCAAATCTAAGATCGGTTGTCTAAGTTCATAAAAGGAAGAGACCGTTCCTTCCATCGAAGGGCCCTAAGTCATTCAGGCTGTATACGTTATTACTGCAGACTTTTCAGTACAGCTCTGGTGAAAATGAGTTCAATTGGGCAAAAGTGGCATTTTTAAATTTTTATTGGAGAGTAAATAAATGGAGGGTGAATTGTTGTTGCCACTACTTCAAAATAATCACGACAGAGTTCTTATACTGAAGGGTATTTTTCTTATTAATGTTTCTCCAGGAAGAGAGAAACATATATCTCTTTTGCTCAAAGGACTAGTTTGTTGTAAAGAGTTAAATCTTATAACAAACACTGTGTGAGCAAATAATATGGACATAAATTGTGTCCACCCAGAGGCCTAGAAAAGTATCCTTATTTACAGAACAATGGTTTAATTTTTCACAGAGGTCACTAGTGTTTTTTTTAGTATATATTTTTCTATGTCAGCTTCTTCTCTCCACTCCCTTAAATTGATTTTAATGCACTTAAACGCTTTACTTTTGCAAGCAGTCGGTCATTGATCACAAAGGTCTCGTGTGTTCACTGTACATGTTATCAGCCTTGCTAAATTTTACAAACACTAACAGATAATAGTCAAACTCTGCCATATTCGGTTTCACAGTAATAGGGCAAATATAAAATTCTGAGAGGCTGTAAGAAATGACACCTGACATTTCATAGAAAGATTAAATGACTAGCTTCACACATCCATGATTTGCTCTATTCATAGTGTTCAAAAGGTCACTGTGGCTAGGTTCATTCATTTATCATAAGTTCATAAATTGTATAAATAAAATTGTATAATGCTAAGACAGTGATGGCGAACCTTTTTTAGATCGCGCGCCAAAAGCGGGGGGTCGTATGTAGGCATGCCACACCCATAATGCTATGTGTGCGACACCCCCCCTCGTGTGCACATGCGTGCATGACCAGTGCAAACCCCCCCACTTTTGGTGCGTTTTTTTTTTTGCCCTCCCCAGGCTCTAGAGGCATTCTAGGAGCCTGGGAGGGCGAAAACAGCCTCCCCCCGCAAGGCCCTCTGGAAGCTTCGGGCGCTTTCCTGAAGTCTACAGAGGGTGAAAAATGGCCCTATGGTCAAACCGGAAGTTCGGGAATGGACTTCCAGTTTGGCCGTAGTGTTGTTTTTCATCCTCCGGAGGCTTCCCTGAAGGCTCCCGAGGGCAAAAAACAGCCAAACCGGAAATTTGTTCCTGAATTCAAGGAAGTCTCTGGAGGGCGAAAAATGGCCTCAAAAGAAGGCCAAAGTCAGCTGGCCAGCGCATGCATGCCCGCTGGAGCTGACAGGACAACGCCTCGCATGCCCTAACAAATGGCTCCGCGTGCCACCTGCGGCACACGTGCCATAGGTTCGCCATCACGGTGCTAAGATATGGCTGAAGTTTAGAAACCACAGTTGAATTTTACAGACTACTCAGACAAAACTGATCAAACCATGTTATAAATTATAATGCTACAGGGCAAACCAGACATCAGTTAGTGACATTGTAATGGAGCAGAACTTCACAAAGCAGTTGCTGCAATGTAATTGAAAAGAAAAAGTTGCTAAAGAGGACACGTCAAAGAGAAGGTCACTTGTGCTCTTTCTTAAAAGTTTTCTTCATGCAGCCATCAGATGAATTTCAGTCTTATACACCCTAAGGTAGGATCAATTTTTAATGAGGTTTTATTTAATAGGTTTCATGTCAAGATTAGTTTCTCTCATTTGCCTAGCATTAAAGGGCATTACTGAGTGCAGCACAGAAGGATAAACTACTGTAGTCTGTTTGCTTCAGATTTGCACCTCCTCTCAAATATGTTATTCGCTATATATGCTAAGTACATTTTTATAGTGTAATATAGTGAATAGATGGATAAATCAATCCAAACAAGCAGTTTTGGTTTATTGCGTCTGTTATAAGCTAACTAGGGTAACCAAGAAGTAATTTTGGTTTTATTACTTGGCTGATAAGAGAAGGAACAAGTCAACATCCTCTTATTTGAGTGACTTAACTAAACAAATAATTTTTGCTTTGTCAGGCAGTTTTTGTAATTGGGAGCACCTAAGCAATTAGGGAATAGACTAGTGATGTTCAAAATAAAGAAAAAATTATAACATTATCATTCCATTTATTTATAGAACTCTTCTCGATATAAGAAAGGCAAGCTTTTAAAGTTGCAATTGTGAATTCATGTAAAGTGAATTCATTGTGATTTCTTACACTTTCAGTCATTTCTTTGATTTCCACTTGAAGGCATAAAAACTCGACTTTAACATGAAAATCTTCCCTGTTTATTCGTATACAGTATATGTTCATGCTGATTCTTGGCTACTTCCCGAGCTCTTAGTAGCAGTAGTAATTATTTCAGAAATCAATAAATCATAATTCATTATATTTTTGCTTTGAATGAATTGTAGGCCCAAGGAAAATGATCAATCTCACATTTAAATTTGGGGAAATTTTGCTGCTTTAAATGTACAACATGTGGCTGCCTCTCTGCACAAGAAGTCTTTGGTTTAACAAAAAAGAAAGGGCCATAGACAAAGGACAACTTATGAAACCAAAAGCTACCATAAAGAGGTGTAAAAGTTCAAAGAGGTCCCTCCCCCACTTTCTCTATGGTGATACACACCATCAGCAGCCAGCATTGCTCCTCTGGACTCTATATAGGACAAATAGGTCAATCTTTGTGCAAAATAATTAATGAACAAATCAAAACACAAAAGAAGGACAAAATAACATCAGAAGGTTTCAGTTTCTCTGATCACGGCATAACAGACCTCAAGATCAAATGTTTTGGAAAAGTGAGACTTCAACAGCACTGTTGGATGAGAAATCCTCTACAATGTAAATTAAAGAATTTGAGGAAATCCCAGACAGCCTCATCAAACACAATGGGTTTTTTAAAAAATTGCAATTGGTAATTAATAATTACTTTTAACCTGTAATTACAAGCACAGGTAGCCCTTGACTTACAACCACAATTAAGCCCAAAATTTCTGTTACTAATTGAGACGGTTAAGCGAATGCCCCGTTTTATGGCCTTTCTTGCCACAGTTGTTAAGTGAATCACTGCAGTTAAATTAATAACACAGTTGTTAAGTGAATCTGGCTCCCTCATTGATTTGTCAGTAGTTCACACAAAGGGATTGCTTGATCCTGGGACACTGCAACCATCATAAATATGAGCCGGTTGCCAAGCATCTGAATTTTGATCACTTGACCATAGGGATGCTGCAGCGGTCATAAGTGTGAGAAATGGCCATAAGTCACTTTTTTCCAGTGCTATTGTAACCTTGAACAGTCACTAAATGAACTGTTGTAAGTCAAGGATTACCTGTAGTCTGCATCTGTGTAACCAACCTGCCTTTCCTTTTGTTACTTGGAAAAGATGCTACTAGTATCCTAATTTTAGCCATCACAGAGTAACACAGCCGTCATAGACTGAGGCTCAGAATTCGTGTTTTGACACCTATAATGTTTACTTTTTTAAATTTTCTGAACCTGAATAGGATCACTATCAGTTTCGGTTTATTGTTATTATTTTCCTGGACTTCTGAAAACTGAAGGGTTGCTTGTATTTGTGGCAAGCAATTCCTTCATCGGTTTATTTCTTGATGTAGTATTTTATGAAACATTGTGTAGTTTATTTTTTAGCTAAATTGTTTTATGTTATAATTTAAAAAAATAATTATGACTTGAGGGATATGGGCAGTTAAGAAGTGTGAAAAATAAAGTTTGTTCAAATTTTCAGGAAAAGGGACATCTGGAAATAATAATAATAAATTTCTTTTTTAAACTTTCAGATATTTTGAAACAATTTCTTTATTTAATATTAGTATTAAATCATTAGCATTTGGTATTAAGATTTCGAGGACCAGTTTGGTATAGTGGTTAAATAATCAGGCTAGACGCTGGGAAATGGTGAGCTCTAGTCTACCTTAGACACAGAGTCAGCTGGATGACCTTCAGCCAGTCATTCTTTGTCAGCCCTAAAAAGGAGGCAAGGGCAAACCATTTCTAAAAAAAAACTTGCCAAAACACCTGCAGTGATTTGTCTGGGCAGTCTCCATGAATTGAACTGTGACCCGACAAATGCGTGCCGACAAAACCGCCGTGACAAAACGGCGCCGTCAAAACCGTGCCCACTAAAGCGCGTCGACAAAACCACGCCCACAAATGCGCGATTAGGGTTTTTGGGTTAGGGTTACGGTTAGGGTTAGGGTTGTTAATGTTGTTACCATTGTTTTCGCGTTGTTTTCGATGGCGCGCTTTTGTCGGTGCACATTTTTCGGCGCGCTTTAGTGGGCGCCGTTTTGGCGGCGCTGTTTTGTCACGGCGGTTTTGGCGGTGCGCATTTGTCGGGTGCGCATTTGTGGGTGAACCGAATTGAACACAAATAGAAGAAATGCAACCACTAATATTTAAATATTTACATGGCCACTGGATAAAACATATGCAAGCAATTTCTTGCCATAATCTTGTTAAATTCCAATTAGATTAATAAAGCACAAGTCCCTTCATATGATCAGCATGTGGCTTTTAATTCCTGACTGCTTTTGCTTTTCTCATGGTATGCATTGTAGCAGTACTGACAACTGTGGAATGCTTAGCTTCCAGAATGCATTCAAATATTTTGAACAGAAGACATTTTAAATTAGAGACATACACAGTAAGTAGCAATATTGTCAGATTTCTTGTATGCCACACATTGAATGTCTGTGTTTCACTGTGAACAAGCTGTGTCATCTATAATTGGTTGATGCTGTAATTCTGTATAGGTTTTTGGCAATACGTATCATTGAGTTTAGCCAGAATAAACATGTTCAGGATTGAATCGCAATACTTGGTTAAAAAAAATAAGAGACATTGCAGGAGAGTTGCAAAGTAGAAAATCATCTGAAGATTAAATCTGCTCTTGTTGTACTTCTAAAGGAAGATTAATATGAAGCTACAGAAATTGATATTTTATAATTTTAGTAATTTCTATTTATGTTTTATAAGT